AGTTGATTTGAAATTTTGACAAAAAAACTTGTAAAATTATTTTTTTAACAGAAACAAATATAATCAAAGTGCAAAATTTAAACTCTCATAACTTCTAAATTTTTATAGATAGAATTTTTGTATATGTAAAATTTATCGGAGAATACGCTTGTACAAACCGTTTTAACCTAGGACTCATAGTTTTTGAGATATTAATATTTTATGAAAAAAACTAAAAATGCTCTGTACCCGGAACCATAATCCGGTTTGCGCCATTAAATAGACAACTTAAAGTAGATTTTCTGAAGCAATTTTAATGAAATATCAATTTCAGCGAATATTTTGTGTAAAAATGTACACATAAAAATAAATTCAAAATTCTCCAATTTTAACAATAAAGATTTAGCTTCGACGGTTTCCTGTTTTTTTTTTTCGTAAGTTAAAATAATTCTGTTTAACGCTGTAATTATGTCATATAAACGTAGCCTTTGTTTAGCGTAGTTTTAGTATTTTTCCTCTTAAATTGCTTACAAATTTTTAAAAAATTTAACCAATACACTGCTTACCTAATATTAGTTTTGGATTTGATTTTTTTCGTAAAAAAACTTTTTATTGATAAATGCCTTACGAGTTGGCAACATTGAATAAAGTGAGAGACTTGTGGTGGAGACAGAAGATATGACACTTGTCAGCTTTTATATTTTCTGTTACTATGGTTTTCCATATTGCCAACTTAAGTTCAAAGTCAGAGGCCACTTTGATCAATGAATAAGTCTTTTTTTTAATAAATAAAAAAATTCTGTCTTTAGTCTCCAATATTGCTAACTTAATTTCAAAGTCACATTTTTTGTGATAAAAACCAATTCTACTGACACGTATATTGCAATTTGGTCTTACATTTTTACCCAGGGCCGTACCCAAGGGGGGGCTTAGAGGGTCCAAACCCCCCCTCCCGAAATGCTGAGCACTTTTTATTGTTAGGTACAAATTTAAATAGTTGACAGAATATTTAATTTTAAGGCAAAATTGTTTCAAAAATGCTATGAAAGGGAGCTACACCCCCTAAAAAAGGTACGTTTTTTAAAGGGTTTTTTCCTAATATTTCAGAATAGATAAAATTACAAAATTTGGCACCTTTATATGTACACCTAAACAAATGCCAAATACCTAACAAAATTTTTAATCAGGGGCGTCCTAAACGGTAAAACAAATTTAATTTTTAATTTTTATGCTGTTTATGGTCTGTAACATAAATTTTTAAACCGATTTTTACTAAAAATCCGCAAATTGTATCGGCAAAACACAAAAGATCTTTTTTTTATGAAAAACTATGAAATTTTGTTGTTGAAAGTGGCAAGAAACCACAATCAAAATAGAGTAAATTTTTTACCCTAATCCAATCCAATTTTTGTACTTGTTTAGGTGTATAAAAGTTATCATCTGTACCAAACTTTGAATTTTTTTTCTAAAATGATTTCGGAAATATGTATTAAAAGACGCATTTTTCGATCTGTACTTTGTAAAAATGGTACCAACTTACCGGTTCAAACTCCCCCAGATTGAAATAAAACAGCCCCATTTTACTTAAAATAATTTATTAAAATTAGGCACTTGATTGAGCTTAGAACTTCTCTTTCGGCTTCCTGAAAACTTTCCCATTTTGCGTATCCTCCAAACACGGAATTTGCACTAAATTAAAATAAATGGTCCCCATGATATGCGCCGTCGGTGATGGATTCTCCTTGAGACACGAGTACAACTGATCGTCGCACAAGCAATGCGATTTCGTATATAACGAATCATTCGTGATGTTATATCTTTGCGAAAAAGCCCTSACTTTGACGGGGCACAAATCGTGAGCTCTGCAACACTTATCGACGGTGGGTTCGGCCCCCAGGTCGTAGTAGTCCTTGGCGATGTCACCCGTGCCGCACCATTTCTTCCCTGYAACGCCTGTTGTAAAGAGAGCAGTTGGTAGGAATGGCGGGGATTTACCGGGGATGATGCCGCTGAGGAGGACAAACGGGTTGTTGGCGAGGATTCCCCGACCAGCGATCGGGTGTGCAGTGATGTTTTTGGAAAGCTCGTGGGCTGATTTGCTGTCTTCGACTTGCTGGCATTGCCGCATTAAAGTTGTCATTTCTTTGAAGGAGATTGCGACGGGGCGGGAGACGTGCTGGAAGTCTCCGAGGGCCTTGATGGCGTCTTCGGGCTGGCTAAGAGCAAAAAAATGTCTTTTTTTTCATAAAACTTATTTTTGTTTTTTTTTTATCAAAGTAATAAAAACCGATGAAATACAGAGCGAACAAAAAGTCTTTCTATCAAATAGGCGTATGCATGGGCGTCGTTACAAATTTTAGAAAGGGGCAGTTTAAAAATACATATTTTATTACAAACACAAAAACATGTTATACAAAATAGGAACATAAAACCATATTTTTTCTAACGGAAATTATACATGAAACCATAAGACAGGGATCTCTAAAACGATAAATTGGAGTATAAAAGTGTAAAAGTTAAAAAAATATAAAAAATAGAAAAATTATAAAAGCATAAAATAACACAAATCAGTAAATAACATGAACTAATAAATACTAAGAAAAATGTAACACTTGGAAATCAAAATATAAAATAAAAACTCTTTCAAAATACATTCTAAAAAACAATAATCAATAGAAATAAAAAAATAAAGAAATAAAAGTTTTAAATTTCGTTTTACTCAACCCAAATCGTCTATGATAAAAAAGTTAAAAAATGTTACTAAAAAAATGTTTAAAAAAAGAAGTTGCAAAATGAGCGTGTTTTTTACTAGACGTGTGCAAAAAACAGTCATTTGGAATCGTGTTTTATACAAGATTTTTTCCAATTTGGTTGTGAAAAACACATTTGACAATTAAAATGACATATCACAATGGTTGCTTTTCACAACAAAATTGGAAAAAAAATTGTTTACCGCTAACGGAATAAAACTTATACCGAAAAAATGGCTTAGGCTAACTTCCAGGGAGGGGCACATGTCCCACCTTGCCCCCTTTAAACGACGCCCATGGACATATGTCGCTTGGAAGTTTGTATGTCAGCTAGATGTCAAAAAATTATTTTATAAAAATTAAAATATTGATCTAAAGAAATTGAATTACTGTATGAAACGTCTTAAACACTCTAAAATGACATGTAGTTGGAGTTTATTCATACAAATCGTTCAATCGTTAATTTGTTGTTACAGTTTACAAAAAAAATATTTTGACATTTTTTATTTACCATTGTGACATTTTATCTTCCGCAGACACATGTTTTAAATTTCTAGGCTTACTAGATAAACTTTTTGATCGCACTGTATAAAGAAATATTAAATACAGGCTGTCCTGAAAGCCGCGCAACTATGTGACACTGTATCACCGGGCGGTGTCCTAGACAACAACAAAAAATGTTTAAAAAAATTTATCTACAAAAATTTCAAAGTTATACGAGTTTAAATTTTGCACTTTAACTCTATTTATTTCTGTTGAAAAAAATTATTTTCTAAATAATTATAAAAAAAGAATATACAAGATCATCAGTATCATTAAATAGACATAAAAAAATGTCAAATGGCAAATTTTTTTGTCAAATAGAATTTTTTTAGTACTCTGGGGGACTACCCAATTACTCCCCTTCAAAGAGCTACGCGACTTTATAGACACCCTGTATATAAAAATGTAAAATGTAAAAAAGAAATTCCAGGAAAAAAGAAGAATACAAATACAAGAACAAGAACTGTAAAATAWCAGAAGTTGAAGTTTGGTGATGAGAAAAAAAGAAAAAATGAAAAATAAGTAATAGGAGTAAAAAAAAATTGTTCAAATATCAAATCAAAAATCATGAAGAAACAGTGTCAATAAAAAAACAATTAGTGGCAATGTGAAAATTGACACAAAGATAAAATAGTTATTTCCGACTGAAATGAAAGAAATTATAAATGAAGAAAATTTAAACAATTCGAAGATTCGAAAATTGAAATGGTAAAATGTAAAAAAAAGTTAATAACCATGAAAAGTAAAAAAACTAAAAGAAAGTTATTATTAATGGAAATAAGAATTTATTCCGAATGTCAAAAAAGAAAACATTTTAAAAAACCGCAAAAATTTATTGAAAAGATAAAATTTTGTGATAATAAATAAATAATAAATGAATACAATTAAGAAACTCCTAATCGTCAATAAAAATTATAAACTAGTTGGGAAAACAAAGTCWTTTCAATGTTTTTATTGTTTTTTTTTATTTATTTATTTATTTTTTCATAAGAGCCACATTTATTTTTTTCTGTCAAAGTAATCAGAATTGATGAAACTGGATATAAAGAAGAAGTATTAGGTACAACATAAAATGCAAAATGTGAAAAAGTAAAAAAAACCTAGTTTGTAAAACTAAGAACTGCAAAATGTCATAAATTAAAATTTGTGATAAAAAAGAAAAAAGAAAATTAAAATAGTTGTTCAAATATAAAATCAGAAATTACAAAAAGATTGTAAGTAGGTACATTAAAAAAAACAAATATTGGTAAAATGGTAAAATAAATCTGACATAGGTATTTTCGACTTAAATGGAAAATATAAAATAAAAATATGTAATATGAAAATCGTTATTAATGAAGAAATTGTTTCTTCCGGCTGTAAAAAGAAAAAAAAACATTTTAAAAATCGCAAAAATTTATTGAATTATTTGTTAAAATAAGATTGAATTTTATTATAGAAAGCTGCATTCCAAAAACCACAGAATAAATAATAAGTAGATTACAAATAAGAAATATTTTTGCACCCATATAGGCAATAAAAATAATAAATCAGTCGTGAAATCAAAGCAAAGCAAAACAATGTTTTTAGGGTTTTTTAATATTGTTTGCATAAAACTCACTTTTATTTTTTTGTCAAAATAATAAAAATTCATGAAATTGAATATAAAGAAAACAACCAGATTTGTAAAAACTAAAAACAAGAACTGCAAATAAATGTCATAAGTTGAAGTTTGTGATGAAAAAAAAAAAGAACTAAGTAATACAAAAATTGTAAATAAACACACAAACCACACAAAAAAACTGAACATAATTAAAAAAAAAACAAATACTGCTAAAGTGAATTTTTTTTTACAGAATCCAACTGAATTGTCATTTTTTATTTTTTGGATCTGAAATTAAAGTTTGATTTACATTTTCAACGCCTTCCGAGATGTCAATCATTTTGAAACGTTTTATACAGGGTGTGCCAGAACTCGCGCACCGGAGAAAAATTTCAAATAAGATAAGATACCAAGAACATGGAAAAAATGTTTTAAAAATTCTATTTGTCAAAAAAATTTACATTTATTTATAAAAGCCACAAATAACATTAAAGAGAGTTACAATTTAGGATACAGCTTTCTTGTTTCCTCTCCTAACAACCTGTTACAAAAAAAACTTGAAAAAAATAGATAAATAAAGTCAAAGTGCAAAATTTAAATTCTCATAACTTCAAAATTTTTATAAATAGATTTTTTTTAAATATTTTATTCATGTTCCTGGTATATACTATTATATATAGAGAAAAATGCCATGTAAGGTTACATGGCATTTTTCTCTGGGGCGCGAGTTCTGGCGCACTCTGTATGTGTTTCATGTGAAATGAAAAAAATAAAAATGAACAGAATTTAAACAAACCAAAATTGTAAAAAATAAAAAAATTATAAAATAAAAAGCAAAAAAATAAGTCGTTATTAATAAAAAAATAGTTAATTCCGGGTGTCAAAAAAATATTTTTGAAACTGCAAAAATTTATTGAGTTATTTGTTAAAAAATTGAATTTCATTATAGAAAGCTGCATTCCAAAAACTCCCACAGAATAAATAATAAGTAGATTACAAATACAAAGTATAGAATAAATAATAAGTAGATTACAAATACAAAGTATTTTCGCGGCAATAAAAATGATAAACCAGTAATAAAAGCAAAGCCTGTTTGATGTTTTTAATGTTTTTTTTTCATAAAACTTAATTTTGTTTACTTCCGTCAAAGTAATAAAAAAAAAAGAAAATAAATAAAAATAAGAATTGGAAAATGTCATAAATTGAAGTTTTGTGATAAGAAAAAAGAATAAAAAGTTGTTTAAATATAAAATCAAAAACCACTTAAAAAAAACAACAATTATTGACAAAGTGAAGATTGACAAAAAGATAAAACAGTTATTTCCCATTGAAATAAAAAAAAAATAAAAATGAAGAGAATTTTAACAAATCATAATTAAAATCGTAAAAAGTGAAAAAAAATTAAATAAAAAAATTATTTAGCCCGGATGTGGAAAGGAAAAACATTTTGAAAAACACAAAAATTTATTGAATTATTTATCAAAAGATTGAATTTTGTGATAGAGAGCCGCATGCTAAATACCACAGAACGAATAATAAGTAGATTACAAATAATAAATACTTTTGCACCCATAATCGGCAATAAAAATGATAAACCAGTCGTGAAAGCAAGGCCTTAATGTCCTTATCACCATTAATCAAATATTTTTAACAATCAACTATGTGTGCAATTAGCTTTTGTCATAATTATTTGCAATGAGAAACACAATCACAATAAATGTTGCAAGAACGGTTTTGTAACCTAAATTAACATTTTTTTCACATTATTGTCGTAAATGTGATAATTGAAGTTTCTCTTTTCCTGCAGCAGTTTCAAAGTTTCAAAGAATCGATCGTTTAATTAAAAATTAACAGAATTGTATCCATTCTCAGCGATCGAAAATGATAAATAATTGAGTAAAAGTCAGGTGGAAATGATGTCAATAGAAAACTAACGACAATAATGGCAATTTTATCGATTTGTTTGCTAAATGACTGCAATTAGTGTCATGTTTTAAATGGTGATAACAAAAAAAATATTGGTTTTTTAGTTTTTTGAATCGATTTTTTTATCATGGTTATGGGGCTCTGTAGGGCAAACTATACATCCCATTAAGTTCCGGTTTTCACTGTTCGATGGAAAATCATTTGCAGAAACCGGCGGTTTTTGAATTTTTATTGTCGGACTTGTAGTTTCCGAGAAAAAAGTGTTTTTTGAAAATTTCAAATCCGGTTTCTTTCACGCCCCAAAAACCTCTAAAAATGAGTTGATTTGTCCATGACCCTGATCGATTTCTTCACCTAAACCGGAAGCAACTTTCGAAATTTTCGAATCTACTCACTAGACTTCAATCAGCTCGCAATTCAGCAGCAACTTGTCGGGCTCCAACTCCACGATGGCCACAGTCTGGTCGTGAAAATAGACCATTCGAATCGAGTCATTTTTGACCC